GACCTGCCTGGTGTGTTCTTTGTTCTTCATGATGCTCTCTGCGCTTTAAACGGAGCTCTGAGACTATCACAGTGCAGGTGCATTTATACTGAGACTTGATTACACACAGGTGGATTCTATTTATCATTATTAGTCATTTAGGTCAACATTGGATCATTCAGAGATCCTCACTGAACTTCTGGAGAGAGTTTGCTGCACTGAAAGTAAAGGGGCTGAATAATTTTGCAAGGCACTGTATGTGTGTGATTTGAGCCATTTTAAGAGGGCATACATGTGAGGGTGTGCTATCTTTTTCCTCAGTTAGAATAGGCATTTTTGTAGAATTACATTTACAGAAGATCTTGAAAAGACTTTCCTTCAGTTTTACTTGTTTAGTTGTATTACTTTAATCTCTCTGTATTGTTAAAATTGAGATTAAATAACCGTATATTAAAACATGTTACAAAATACACATGCTTTCAAAGGGTGTCCTAATTTTTTCACATGACTGTATAAGAACATATAAAAGTGATATCAACCTTTTTCTTTAACTCCAAACTGCTTCAAGATCTCTCAGTTGCCACTGTTACCCTTATATAGGATTATTTGAGGCATTTGGGGAATCAGCTAAAAATTTTCAGGCATTTCATTTTCACAAAGTAAAAAGAAATTAAGAGGAACACAATTCCCTGTTTGTGTGCGTGTAAGCATTTTGAATGTACAGTATATAGCATAAAAAAGAAGCACACCCTTTAAAACTTAACAAATTTAGCTATCTCTAATCACCAATAAGACATATTTTGGTTTCTTAATGCTGTTTGTATCACTTACCAATGAAACATGTCAATATTAAATGATGAAATGTGCTTTTCTTAAAAAGCCACTATTCAAAAATGGGTGCACCCTACTGAAAGTTCCAAAATAAAACTAATCTAATGAGTCTAATCACACTACTCACACAGGTTTAAGTAGCTGGCAATCAAAAGTGGCACTTAAACTGTTAAATCTCTCTTGACAGCACCACATCGGAGAGAACTGTCTGGAGACCTGAGAAAGAAAATCTGTTCATCATACAAGAGAGGATAAGGGTAAAAAAAAGGATAAGCAAATCACTGTTAGTACTGTAAAAGAATGGACTTGTGACAAGCTCCCTAAATCATTTAGGCCATCCCCGATCACCTCGGCGATTTCCTCTGAGAAAAGTGCAGCAGCTGGCCACATCTGCGAATGCCAAACTGGAATCATCCAGACAGGAAGCCACTGCTGAAGGCAAAGTACACGAACGCCCAAGGCCCATACAGAAACTAGTAGAGTTCTGGGAATCCAAACTGTGGTCTCATGAGACCCAAGTCATGTTTAGGCATGGCCCCCTTGTGAATCATGGTGGAGGGAGCGCTCTAATATGGGGATGTATGAGTGCTAATACTGCAGGGTAAGTGTATTTCATTGGTTGCAACATGAATTCACAATTCAAGAGAACATGTTACCCTCTCTTGATTCCTGGGGTCGATGGGCACTTTTTCAATATGACAGTTGTGATGAATGTTCTTCCAAGGTCATTGCAAGAACAGAGTTAAAGTATGTCACGAGCACCTGTGCAGAATTTTGAAGAGAGAAGTTTGATGGGGAGCGGTCCAGGAGTGGAACAGATCTGACAACATGCCATGAACTTAGTGCCTGGTTTACTTATTTCATAGTTATTGAAGACAAATCTTCCTATGTTTAACTAGATTTTATTTTGTTCATTCACTTAAAGGTGTAACGGTGATCATGTATAGTATCTTTGTGTTCGGGGAGGTGTGCTCATTATAGCCGTGTACTGTCCATTTGTGTTCAGCCGGGCTACATAAGCTCCCTGACTCATTCCACTTGCCATTTGTTCTCCTAAAACACACACACTAGCAGCTCGCCCTCTACCTTTTTCACGCTCTCTTTCACACGCTCTCTCTCACCACTCAAGGATTCTACTCATGTAATTGTTTTCTCGTAAATAAAATGTCAGGGAATTTCCTCTGTAAAGTTTGGAAGAGTTTGCAGCAGGTGAACATTTTTGTTTGTATTTTGTGCATATGTATGTTTGTGTGTGTGGTATTTGCAGACTTCTAGCATTTTGTTCTGTGGCACCCCACCACATCCCCTCACTTTCTGAGCCTCTGGACCCCAGGCAGCAGGACTGTTGCTATGGTAACACCTGTGCCAAATTTATTGGTGGTGGGGGCTGGAGTGGAGGGTTGGGGGGAGGTGGAGTCTCAGTAGGGTTGAAAGAGGATGGGGGCACAAAAACCTTGAAATGATCATTGTATTTTCCACTTTGTTCCAAGTACTGTTGTTTTTTTTACTATAAAGCTTTTTTTTTTTACTATGAAACAATTGTGTTTTAAAAGATGCTGCTGAGTGTGTTACATGCATTTGTGCATTCACATAAGCATGTTAGCTTGCCTGTGTTTGTATTGTAAGGCGTTTGATCCACTGACCTTTCTGTGCCAGCAAAACATTGGGTTCATATTTGTCCACCAGCACCTGGACTTGTTCTGGTTTGAGAGGAGGGTAGAGAATCTCGTTGAGACGAGGGTCTCGCTGTTTACTGTTAATGAACTCTGTCATCTGTTCCACCGTGAGGTATGGGCGACTCTTAGCACCACTAAAGGGAGGAGAAGCAGTAAGAGAATAAGGTGAGTAGGAGGAACAGGAAAAGGGAAAAATAGAAAAAACAGGTACTGGGTTACTAAGTGAAATGTGGGTGCAATAACAGAATTGAGATATGAGCAAATAAAATGAGGAGATGATGATGGAGGGGAGGAGTGGTAATTAAAGCAGCAAATAGATGTGGAGAGGGAGAGAAAGAGACACGCAAAGGAGCAGAGGATTAAATGTTATGCTGAGTAAATTATGACATTTGATTAAAACGCCTTTCATATCTGTGTGTGTTCCAGTAAATTATCATCTCCATATCCTCCTGCCATCTCACTTATCTGTGATTAAAATCTAGATTTATGACTTAGAGTGGTCCCTGTCATGCTGGCATGCCGCCTGGGCTGATTGTCTGAGTCTCTGTGGACCAAAGGGCAGCTCTGCCTCTTCAGTACAGGGACATGCACAGCCAGACTCGAGGAGTCACAACCTGAACCATTACAACACACCGTTCTGTACTAATTAACTGCTTATGATAGGGCAAAAGGTCAAAATCAGGAATCTGCATAGCCATATTGCCCTGTGAAGACTGTCTGCTATTATCCAGCTGCAGTCTGAAAAGAGCAACAGATCGCTGAAGAAAGTAATTACTGTTTCACAATTTTCAGACAACTTTACTTCTAAACTGGGAATTGCTCTATTTGTTGAATGCTGCACTGATTACAGTATTACCTTCTGGGAAGAATTTTAAAATACAACTAAAGGAAACATACAGTAGTTCTTACACATCAGAGAAGATGTGGTCCAGCTCGGGCCGGGGGCAGATGTTGCTCAGAAACATGTTATACACCTCTGGAGTGAAGTCCTCCTGTGGGATGGAGTCATTCTGCAGCAGACAACAGCAACATGGTCAGTTAAATCGTACATGCAAACACATACAAATCTATGTTCTGCAGGTTCTGAACTGATCCACTAGTTCTGTTACGTACTATTACTGGTTTGTGTTGTTTTTTATTGTTTATTTGCTCATCTGTTTTTAGTGTGTGCACAGGTGCTACAGCTTTAAAAATGACATATACTGGCAACTGAAAGGCTTGCAAACAATGGGCCTCATGCAAGACCATTTTCATATTGTTATCTTAAACCTCTGTTACTTTTTCTATTAGGCTTTTTTCCCAAGATGCAGAAACCCTGAATTATCTGCAAATTATGGATCTAATATGTGCACAAGTCACAAATTTGCCTCAAAGGGCTTAACAGTCTGTGCATAATATGACACCCTCTATCCTTAGTCTCCCAGATAGGATAGGGAAAAATAAGCTGCTGCTGTTGAAGTGTGCAACCAGAAATACAGTATCTCACCTTGTATCTGCTATTGTTCTCTTACATGTGGGTTCCAGTCTCTAAATACTACCCAGTTATATAGAGTATAATAGTCCATGTTGTCCTGCCAACATTCTGAAAACAACTGCATCGTTGTAACCCTGTTTGTTTGTTCCCTCTGTGCGCCTTGCTCTCTTTCTTCTCCGCTGTCACTCAAGTTCACTGTGCTGGACAATCGACCATCCTGGGACCTTTTCTCTGGCTGTCGGTGCCTTTTCAGATGTCCGGATCTAGATCTTTGTCCTTAAGGAGTCCCAGCCAATACATTTGTGAGTTGTGCTTTTGGGCTATCCGTATAAAAACTGGTCAGGTCAAGCCCTGCAAAAAACCCGGGCTTGGTGTGAGCTATATTGTGTTTGCACTTTTGCCTTTGAGTGTGTGTGTTTGACAGATTAACAGCAGCACCGCCATTTAGCTGTAATTACTTGCGCGTTAGAACAACAGCAAATCCCACCAGACCTTCAGACAGCAACACGTTACCTCCGGCTCTCTCCATCTCCCTGTGCTAATTATGTATACTGTAGCTTGTTCTCTGTGTGTGTGTGTGTGTGTGCATCTGCTTTTATTTTTGTGTTTGTATTCAGATGCCAGTGTACATACAATATGTTTGCCCTACTGTATGTGTATATATTTCAGCATGAACTGCATTTTCCAACTTCCAAATATGCAAATTACTGTACTTGCTAATGCTGGATTACAGAGACTGTTTATTGTGTTGGGGGGAGTGTTTACACCTCTATGCATCAGGGGGCAGCTTCTCTCTAGTGATATCTGAGAGAGGTACAGATAAAACAGCTTTTGTCAACTCTATTGCGCCCACTGGGTCTATTTGTTTCATTACAACCAAGGCTAAATCAGTTCTGAGTGAGAAGTCATGCAGACATCCAGGAAATAAGACTCCACACAGATGAGATACAGAAAGTAGCAATCAGCTGCTGTTTCAGGAGAATAAAGAATGAGCTGAATGGTGACAGGGCACTGATGGATGGATGGAGAAGATGAAAGAGCTTAGAGACTAAAAGATAAGAAAGACAGGCGGAGATAGAGAGGAAGGGATACAGACAGGGGCAGGTTCAGAGACAGAGCAAACTCAAGGAGACCGTAGTACTAGAAAAGGAGGGCGCTTCAGGCTTTTGGTGTCTCACCCTGCCAGAAGGTAGGTTGCAGTTTTCCAGGGCTGTCTCCACTCGCTTCCTATCTGCTGAGAACACCCTGAAGATGCTGTGGGAACACATAAACACACCCTTCTGAGTAACTGTATGTGTGTATGCACTTACTGTGCAGCTTGTGTGTAAATGTTTAAAGCTGTATGGCTGTTGAAAATTATATCAGGTCACACTGAGAGGTGTTTCTAATATTTAGTACAGACTCATTCTTATAAATAAGTAGAATGATATAAATTAGTATATCTCTACAAATGTCATTCATGGTGCACACATGCACTGTGAAAAAAAAAATCACTTTAGGAACTTAATTTTCAGCTTTTCAATTTTTATTTTGAAGGTGAGCATTTTTAAAAATTCAGCAATTGCATTCATTTTTTTTCATGGCCGAAAACAACTGCATTTTCTCACACACCATCTTCACCCGCCCACCACAGTACAATATAAAACACAAACACACATCTATACACATTTAAAATCCTATTACAAATATATCAAATAATTGGTGGAATAAATCCTCATTAGTCCAACAATTACATGTATCCAACAGAGCAAAATGTTTCTTTCAGCCCATACACAAATTTTACAACCACTAAATAAACCATGATAAGGATCACATCCTATACAAAGATCCAGTTCTGGACTTTTTCGATCTGCACGTCTGATACTAAAGTAGATCTGTGCTTGCTAATGCGTGAGTGTGAAGGGCGAGACGTTTTACCAACATAGGCAAACCCACATGGACACTTTATTAAATAGACTATATGTGTTGTGCTACCACTTAATTGCGATTATAGTGTGTATAGATGATAAATGTGATTTAGTGCCATCATCTCCAGTGTTGTCATAGCTACTGCTGACTGTTTAGGTCTGTTCCTGCTGGCCACAGCCTGTGTAAACTGCATGCAGAGGTATCCACGAGCACATACTGTATGTATGCTCAGTGGGAAAGCAGAGTCAAGCTGGCATTGGCCAAGATGACATGTCCTCCCAGCTGGGAGGTTAATTCCCTAAACGGCAAGGAGTGTCTCGCTGCCTCTCTGAGTTGACACCCATTGCTTTTCTGTGCAGCTCTGAGGGAGGTTATCACAGAAGTTCACTGCTGCCTGCCTGAAAACTCAACTTGACTAATGGGGACAGAGAGAGTTGGATTTTCAATGAGCTGATGCCAAACTCCCAGATAAGTGAAACGGAAATTGAAATGTCCAAAACTGAAATACACAAAAGGAAATTCTCACATACACGAGCACATTTTGAGCTAAAATTAGTGACAAATATAAATGGGGCTTGCCCAGGACATGCTACTTTACACACACACACACACATGCTGTGTTTTCATTCCTTGTGGGGACTTTACATTGACTTACATTCCTTTCCTGTAGACTTATCCTACATGTCTAACACCTAACCTAACATCTAACCTCACCCTAAGCTTAAACCATGTTGCCACCCTAAAATTTAGTGATTTCCCACAATGTGAGTATGTTAACATACATAATGTAAGTAAAACAAAGGCACACACCACACACAAACCACTAGGGGCTGTTCTTAGCGGTAGAAACTTTGGAGAAAGCTTTACTGCAGAGATGAAGAGCTGTGGAAAGGGGGATATTGTGGAAGGTCTGACAGAAGAGAGGGATACCATATTCTAATAAATGCACACATATTCAGAGAATGTGCATATATTGACGTGTATAGATGCTGAGAGTAACGAGAGAAGGCAGAGGAAGGTATGCATTGATCAAAAGAGCAGAGGCAGGGGAGAGAAGGATGAGTCACAGAGTGACTTACTTCTTGACAGGGATTCGCCCCTCAGGGTTGAGCTGTAGCTTCAGCCGAGTGTATCTGCATCAGACAGAGCACACATCTTACACAAAATATAATCAGCAGTATTTCTGTGTGAGGAATTAAATTTCAAATTTAATTTGTGTGAGTGTTTACTTGGGTTCACATGCATAACTGATGTACATAATCGTTTGCCATGTCCTTCTAAGAGTGAGAGTGCAAATTAAGGACACTGCATTTGTCACTGTGGTGAAATGCAAACTTGTACCAATACAACACCCAGCAACTGACTGGCATACCATAAATAACTAACTGAGTTTACATGACAGGTAAAAATTGCAGCTAATCCCTGGAAGCCTTGTACTGGCAGCACAGATCCATGCAGAAGCAACACAGGCAAGCAAGCCTGGGCTATAAATAGCTCAGCTGCAACATGAGCCATCATCGCAGGCTAGCCTTTAAGTAGCTCCTGGCTAATAATTAATATCCATTACAGTGTCCACTTCACAGGGCAGGCTAGCTGCAACAGGCAAAGTCACCATTGACTGTAATGGTTAATGGGGCCAGACTGTGTTTTGTGTGAAGTGGGTTGAAGCATTAGCTGAGAGATATTGACAACAGCTGACGTCACAAAAGCTACATAAGACTGGCTTTTTAAAAAGGTGCAGAAAAAGAAATAAGGATGAAAGACAAAGAAGAAAGTAAGAAAGGCTTGGGGTAAGGAAAGAAGGAGGGAACAGTCAGGTGTTTCTTGATGTCCTCATCTAACTTCCATGTGCTTGTATTATTCATTAAGACGAGGGGGAGAAAACAGATTAATTACATCTGTGTCCTTTTCTGTTTATCTCAGTACTTTCTTTTTCTTTGTCTGTCTCTCTCTTTATTCGTTCTATCTCTACTCTCCCTCTCCAGTTAATGGTAAACCAGTGAGGCCAGCTTTCATTTCAGCTGTGGTAATACCAATACTAATTTGCGCACATCAACTTTTTTGCCATAAAGTACAAAATATATCATCAATAATCTCATTATATGAAGTGTGTTTCTAAATGTAATCACTGATGCATACAGTCACATAATTCTTGGAGTATCCACAGTTGTACTAGACTTATATCAAAAGAAAATCTTATAGCAAAAAGCCATTCGAAGACATGCTGTGTTCTGCTTTATCTCCTGTTGCTGGGAACATTTCCCATCTATGCCGCCCTCCAAAAATGTGTTTCAAGCTAGCAATGGGAATTAACCTCATGCAGAGGAACATCAGCATCGCTTCAGGGATGAAGCCTCCTCATGCTGCAGCACTGATATGACAAAGAATCACCTTATTTGTAACCAAGCAGTGCGTAACAACTGCTGCTGTGAGCAACCGGCATGACTGCAAAACCCGCTCTATCCAATTCTCTTGTACTACTGTATGTGGTCGATGGTCACTTTGTCTCATAAGTCAATTAACCTCCTCAGGGGTGCGAGTTAATGGAATCTGTTCCCTGATAAACATCAGCCAGCTGGGAGTTGACACCAAGCAGAGCCTGGCATATTGTCTCAAAACAATACTGCAGATTCATATGTAATTCCTCTCTGCATGAGCTCCACTCAGTGCACAGATAAATCAGCTGTGGACCATAGATCAGGGCGTTTGCTCCTACCAGACCAATATAAACGTGGTGCTGCAAGCCATCAGACAAAGTTATTACACAGGATCAGAGGTGGTGTGAGAGTGACTGATGATTCCTGGACAAAGAGTCACAGATAAGGGCCAGGGGAGATTTATAATAAGTGAGAACAGCAGAATATGGTGACTCCTCTAAAATTTCCACACCACAACAAGCTGACCTGTTTAAGGACCTACTGTCACTGACCTGCCATTATGTCACTAACACAACAAAAATACAGACTGCAGCAGTATATGAACACACACTCACACACCTACATACTGTACAGTCACAGTAGATAAGCCAACTGAGATGCACAGAGTTAGGTTCATGAACTTATACATATTTCCAGCTGTTTTATTTATCCTCCTTCTTCCTTGCTGTCTGTTTTTTCTCTCTTTACCCGCTCCACCAATGTGAGGTGAGGTGACCTTTATAAACTCAAACCCTCAGGCTGCCTGGTGGAGCTGTATGTGTGTGTGTGTGTGTACAGTACATACTGATTTGGGTGTATGACTAAAGGTATCTACAATATTTATTTCATATTGTGTTCACATATATTTATGCTGCAAATATGTTTTTACATACATGTGTAGGTAAACGCTAACTGTGTACAGTATTGTGCAGAGGAGCGTGGGAGCACTCATCCGCCAGTCAGTTACAGTCAGTTATACAGTGTGTCTCTTTTACATGAGAAGCTTCATTTGCTGTTTCCTGCTCTTTCTGTTCCTGTAAAAAACAGTACAAGTCAAATGTGATGCTGGTGAAGACTGACAGTTTTTGCTTCTTGCAGACTTCATTTTCACATTTATCTTGAGCACTGAAGATCTACATTATTTTGTGACTGCTTGTGTGTGTGTGTGTGTGTGTGTGTGTGTGTGTGTGTGTGTGTGTGTGTAATTCATGTTTGTACAGATGACATACGCTTTCTCAAGGCAGGCCTCCCTGGACATGTTCTGTACCATGAGGTTAGATGCCAGCTTGAACAGTTCTTCTGCCCATTCCTGCAGGAAATAAAACACATGGACACACAGATGATGTTTGTCTTCTTCTTTTTTAACAGTTGGCACCACATTACCAAACAAATTCCTTGTTTGTGAAACTTACTTGGCAATAAACTTGATTCTGATTCTGTCAGTCAGGCGCAAACCAATCTTAGTGCTGTTTGACTTGATAAATGCTGAGAGCTGAAACGTGGCTGTCTAGTTTATACTATACACATACAGTATGCATTTAAATTCAGAAAACACACTGTTACAGTAATAGTTCACGTCTTGTCAGTGAACCAACAAAAAATAGTGTCTTCATCCAAAGTCTAACAAGCCTCCTAACTGAACAGGAAATAAACTGGAACTTGTTTTAATCTTGTCTTTTCATCACTACCTAAAAAGTAAGAAATTTAGATGCTAATCACATTAGTGTTACGCAGCGGTTTCATCATTTTAAATCAACCTTTGTGTCAACCAGCTATTTCAAACCTTCACTTAACAAACAAAATATTTTGTTTTTATTATCATTACCATGTCTAGTAAAACGCTTTAATCAGTTGAAAACCATTTTCAAAGTATTTTCAGAGAAATGTTACATCAACACTGATGCCACTGCTAATTAAAACAGAAATTACAGCATCTGGACTTCAGAAAATAACACTAATAGCTAATTTATGTACAAGTTTTACCTTAGCTGTCTCCTCCTGGAAAGCCATGAAGTTCAGGTAGGTGATGTTGACCATGTCAGGACCACTCACCACTGTCAGCATCCTGTTCTCCATCTTACCCGCCAGGGAGCTGACGTCCAGCAGCTCACGCAGTTTAGCTTCCTTAACAATGAAATACAAACACAGACAAACATGTCATAACCATGCCCAATTCAAACAAAACAATAAATCAAGCTTTAGGTTTGTTATTCTCACTAAGCGGTATGCACACTCTTTACACCTCCTTTACAACAGTGGACTACAGTTCAGCCAGACCTGCATCTAAAACCTAGCAGCTCAAACAAAAACTTCATCGGTGGCAAATAACATAAGACAGGCCTTGGAAAAATACAAGATATACTTTTATGAGGAAACGAGAGACAGTAGTGTTCTATGTCATGGCATTTTGGTTAGGTGTTCACAACAAAAAGCTTCGGCTGAATAAACTGCACTGACGTCTGATTTGTGTCATTATTGAGAGGTCAGCTGTTTGAGGCAGTGCAAGGAGCAAGGTGGGAGGCTACAGCTCCACTGGATCTGAATGTCACTTGCTGGTTCCATGTTTGAAGCTTGAAGGACAGCAGCAAACAAGGTGGGTTAGGCAGCACCATGATAGGAAACACTTTCATTTAATGATCTGGAGGTATCACATTGATATTAGAGTAAAAAACACTGATGGTTAGGTTTAGGCACAAAAACTACATGTTTAGGGTTAGGCAAACACCATAAAACACCAAGAGAAAGAACACAAAGAAGGACACCAGGTGCAATACAAAAAAATGTTGCCATCTCACAATTTTACAGCAGTTATTGTGACACTACTATGCTTTACGATTAGGACCAACATAGCTATTTTACATTTTCATAGGAGACTAGGCTGAAAATTTGATTACAATTTGGCATACTTTCTTCCGGAGGTCCTAACATTAGCTACTGAGCATGATTTTACCTTTGTAATGAATTAATACGACTTCAATTTGGGAGTAATTTGAGCTTTAGTGTCCCATTAGCAGTTTACTGCTAAAGTTACTCTTTAGCCAGCTAACGTCAGCTTTGGACTGGAGGCTGCCTTTTGTACAGTTTGGCACAACCAGGCATCCATAGGCCATGTTATAGCCAGGACAGGATGGGAGGGGCAAAGAGCACTACGGTGTCATGGTGTGGTAATGGTGTCAGTTTGTTTTGGGTTTCACTAGACCCTCCAGTGACTGAAAAGAAATTACACAAAGTAGCTTTAACTGGGGGAGACGCAAGAAGAGTGGCCAATGTGACAGCCATAATATCAAAGAACAAAATGCGTCATTAAAAATCATCAGTGGATTCACTTTGCTGAGGATATTAACCCCATTCTTGCTGAGAAACATTTAAATAACTGCTTTCAATATTACTGCAAATTTATGAGAAGAAATTATCTCCATTTTGAGCAGTACAAATAACAAATGTAATACAATGAATTCCCTACAACGTTCATCTTCCAACAGATTCAGCACGTTAAATGAATCTGTTGTTAGAAGTCGGCTGCCTGTTGTAACAAAACATTTGGTGCTGGCAAGTGTCCAGCTTACAAAAAGAAAAATCCATTTGTATTCTGATGAGGAAACTGTCTGAGGAAAACTAAACCAAACTAATTTGAGCAAATATACACATAAGCAGCTTGTCTTTGGTGCAGATCATATAAAGACAAACTACAATGTCTCAGAGGTGCAAGAATAACAGTGAATGTTTCTCTCTCCTTTGCGGTCCAGTGCTCTAGCAGTATACAAAATGGTTGCTCTGGTTTAATTAACACAACAACAAAAACAACAAAAAGCTCTGTAAAGGATTCTGCAGTGAAAGCAAATGAGCTCCCACTAATTCAACCAATCAAACAAAGAGCATTCTGTCCTATGTCACGCTGATAAATGTCCTCTATACGTCCCTCACACCCCCCAGTCAAATTGTGCAGCTTAGCGGCACCCATTATTATCATGCTGAACTTTTCTGAGGCGATTCATTTTCTCTTTTGAAGAATCTCTCCCCTCTGACAGCCTCTGTCTGTCTCTTATACAAGCAGGGACAATTTTCTGTAGCTACGTGATACTTTTGTGACAAAACATGCCTTGCTATAATTTCAAGGAGGAGCGGTTAACTACTGCACATTGAAAAAAATGACAGATTTCAAATTGTTTGATTTACAGATAACTCTCACTCAGAAGTTTAGACTTACACGACCTTGGGTTTGATCAGTAACCAATCGGACACGAAGTGCTCAGTTGGATGGGTATCCATCACTGTCCACTTATGTATTCTCAATGCCACCAGCCCCATCAATCACAGCATAAAGAGCTACTTTCAATTTGCTAAAACACACAATACCAAAGTACCCATTGAGGGATGCTTTGGCAGACTGCCGAAGATAAAAGGCTTCTGAGAACAGACAAGGCGATGGTGAGATGCATATTTAATTTATAAGAACGCCTGGATGTCGATATAATTTTATACTGTTTTGATGCTACTTGTAGCCATAGGCTGAACATACAGCTCATCTCCTTGTGAGCAGTCAGAGCAGGGCTGACCTGGGAGGACGCTGCAGGCACTCACAGCACATCAACCGGAGAAACATCAGTGATTATGTTGGGAAAGGGCTTCAGCAAATAAATGAGCTGATGTCAGGGAGCAGGGCCCTGCTTGAGAGGCCAAGAGGAGAGGAGAAGAGAACAAAAGAAGAGGGAAAACACTGAAGAAGAGAAGTAAAGCAATGAAAAGGGAGGAAAGGAAGAAGACGGGAGGGGGGTTTAACAATGTGAGTGACAAATAATTTGTGCCTGTGCATTATGGGAGCTGCTTAAGGCATGCCTGAAGCCCCAGTTACCACAAAGATAGGAGGTCTAGAGCTAAACTAGCAAAAGATGAGCATTTGGAATGATTGTGTGGTTTCATGTTTCACAACATACTGTATTTGACTGTGAGAGCCAGTCACCGACCACTGATATGAATGTCTACTGTGTGTATGCATGTGAATGTGTTTTGATTCTGTTTAGCCATGCTTGTGAGTATGCGTTTATAAAGGCATACGGTACAAGGTGCATGTTAGCAGCTGCCATGTGTCACTATGGGAACTCTTCTCTGTCAGTTAACTAGCATTAAACTCACAAACACACAAACCCCACCAGCTTGGACACACACAAACATGAACAAACACGCATCCACTGAAGAGTATCCCTACATAAATCTGTACTCAGAGAGGCACAAATCAAGGCATGCCTATATGAATGTGTGTGTGCATCGATACACACACAGGGACATCAGACCAAAGGAAATGTCAGTATGAATGATTGATGATGACCCAGCTACATACACACTTGCCATTTGGCACTTGCTTTAATGTACTTCATCATGATGTGGTACTGTACATTTAAAACTACAGCCAACATGTACCAAGTACTTTTTAAACTTAATTTTTATTGATATTTTCAGGCAATAGGGAGGAGCAACATAAAAACAGAAGAAATACAAACTTATTTTTGCAACAATGCAATTTTGCCTAGGTACAGAGGAATACAAACTTATTTTTGCAACCTAACAATGCAATTTTGCCTAGGTACAGAGTGCCACATTGTGAAAGGATGCAATGTTTTTAACATGTCGTTTCGACTTGGTCAGTTCCCCAATAATATGAAAATAGCAAAGATTATTCCTCTGTATAAATCTGGGGATAAGCACAACTTCACAAATTATAGACCGGTTTCTCTGTTGTCACAGTTTTCAAAAATCTTGGAAAAACTCTTTAATAACAGATTAGACACATTTATTGATAGACATAAAATCCTCTCTGATTGCCAATATGGTTTTAAGTCGAACCGGTCGACATCTCTGGCCATTACCGACCTAAATGGAGGACATTACAAGTGCTATGGATGAGAAGAAATACATGATGGGGATATTTATTGACCTAAAAAAAGCATTTGACACAATCACTCATGAATTATTAATGGATAAGTTAGAAAAATATGGGATCAGAGGAATGGTTCTGAAATGGATTAGAAGTTATTTGACACAGAGGCGTCAATTTGTGAAGTTGGGTGAATACCAATCGAGTGAGCTGGACATCGTATGTGGAGT